CTGAGTCACTCCAGTCAGAGTATGAGCTAGAGGGAGGTACATTCCTCAACCCCCTAAAGTACTCATGCTTGCCCTAACCATTTTCTTCGGTGTACGACCATATACGTGCTTTCTAGGACTATTGACCAGTGTCCACGTATAAGGTAGAGTCTACGTTGATTTTCTGTCATGCCAAGGGAGTTAATAGTGCCAAGTCGCTCTCTTTGGGGCACGTGAGCGGGCATGTAGGCAAACTGAATCAGCCTGCCTGCCGTACAACTGGGCAGTATAGTCCCTATACTATACGGGTTTCGTAGCAGCACCATCTACTGGAAACTTATATTTTCTAGCACTAGTGGCGTAATCTAAGTATAAATTTCCTTCTCTCTCTACTAGCACGGACAACTTTATGTCAGTTATATACCGCCTAACGTGTTTCACGACTCGTCACTCTTCTGTCTTAGAGAGGTTCTTGGGCATTTCAGTCGGTGTAACCACTATCACCGTGGAATTTATGGCATATATCGTTTGGCTACCACCGAACACACTGACAGCCTACCTGCGGCTGCCTTTAATCTCGCTCGCCCAAAAAATCGATCTGTCATGTAGCTCATCGCGTAGCACTTGACAGGAAGTCTAGGCGACAGGTAGTGCGGGTGCGGATGCTGACAACAATCAACCCATTGGTTCTTCGATTCATTTAGTTAGATTTGAATCTTGGGCGGTACCTTTATCTATTTTGGTGTATTCTTTTAGTAATAAAGCATGGCGGTCAAGCACAACAACGTTATCCCCAACATCCACTTCCGCAAGTATTGGCAGAAGCACATAAAGACCTGGTTCGACCAGTCTGCTCGGAAGCATCGCCGTCGTCTTACTCGCCAGTCTAAGGCAGCGGCTGCCTATCCGAGGCCTTCTGCTGGACTTTTGAGACCAGTTGTCCGTCCTCCTACTCAAAGATACAACTACAAGCTCCGTCTCGGTCGTGGCTTCACCGTGGAGGAGCTGGCCGCCGCTGGTATTTCTGTCAAGCTCGCACCCACTATTGGCATCAAGGTAATTAGGATCTCTGCTAAGTCAATATTGTCATCCCCGTATCAGGTCGACAAGCGTCGTCACAATAAGTCTAATGAGTCTCTTGCGTGCAATGTTGATCGCTTGAACCAGTACAAGGCTAGGCTTGCTGTCTTCCCTAGAGGCTCGAAGGTGAAGAAGGGTGATACTGCTCGTGCTGAGCTAGTTAATGGTACTCAAAACACCTGCAAGGTAATCAATCGATGTCGGACTATCTTGCATATATCAGTTTTCCCCTCCTGTTAGACTATTATTCCCGTCCCTACCGCCCGTGTTGTGGAGCACGCCCGTGCGATCACTAAGGGAGAGCGCGAAACTTCCGCCTACACTACCT